AAAGAGAGCGACAGGACAGGGTGGAGGGCAGCAAATGGCACTTGGGATGCTGCTCACAGCAGGGAAGGGCCGTTGGTCACTGTGGGGATATATGGGCAAAGGCCTTTGCATCAAGCTGCAGAGAGTACGGCGGAGAAATGCCCATGCTATGATAAGGCCTCTTGGCAGCAAAACTCCAAAAGTGTGATGAAACAGGGGCGCTCCGGGAGCACGCAGGACTGGGTGCGTTCACGGACCGTTCAACGGGGGAGGTACCTTGTAACATCTGTGCAGCAGCATCCGTGCGGAAGACAGGATGTTCACGGTGTAGAGGTAGAAGGTCCGGGAGGGCGCATGGTCTGGAGTCTTGGGAATCTCCTAATGGTGGGTGAGAGAAGGGGGAGGCCTTCAACACACAGCACCTCACCACGTGCACTACAAGCAGCTCGGGACAGCCTTGCGAAAGGGCTCTCAGCTCCATTAGAGACTCAGCATTGTCCCAGCACCTGCTTCCCTGCTCTCCCGTGCCTGCCGGCTCAGCTCTCCACCCTCTGGGCACAGCTCCTGTCCAGTCTCAGACAAGCAAAGTGAGCTGGAGCCTTGCCAGGTCCTGTGTGAAGCAGGTGAGTGACATTCACTCGTGGCTGGGGAAGGCTTTGAGATCTCAAAGGCACCTCTACAGGCAGGCGTGAGCCCATCATGCTCTGCTCTCCAGCCACCAGGCCTCATTTTTTGTCCACACGTCGCTTCACTTCCGATGAGGGCTGAATGGGAACGCTCACCTGCAGGGACACGAAGTTCTCAGACAGCATTTTATACAGCATGTCCTTGGCTTCCTTGGCTGGGATCATGGCAAAGTCCTCCACTTGCTTCTGCTCCAAATGCTTCTTCCGCAAAAGCAAGCGAAATATCCTGGCACAGCGGGAACCAAATCTAAGCAGGAGAGAAAAATAATTAAACTAGTGGATGGGGATTGGAAGAGAGAAATGAGAAAGGGCCAAGAAGCTTATAAAGTCTTCAAATTGCCTCCTTACCTCTCCTCTACAATGGATTCCAGGGTTGCTGTTGCCAGAGACGCGAGAGCCTTGTGAAGATCTGTACAAACTATGTCAAGGGATAACAGGAGC